ACACTGACACACACACACTGACACACACACTGACACACACACACTGACACACACACACACTGACACACACACACTGACACACACACACACACACACTGACACACACACACACACACACACACACACCGCCCCTGGGCTGGTGTGGGACCGCCTTCCCCAGAAAAGCTCCTCTCCACCGAGGAGCAGGGACAGAGGTAGAACAGGCGGCCAGGCGTGCTGGACAGCAGGTAAGTGGTGGCAGCTGGACCCCCCCATATCCCTTCGACCTTCCCCCTTCCAACCAGTCCCAGCCCCAAGCAGATGTGTGGAGCCTCAGCCCTAGATGGAGTCCGTGTGACTTTGGACGAGGCCCCAGATCAACCCTTTGGGGCCTCATTGTTCCATCTGCGGGTGCAGTGAGGCGGCTCAAGAGATATCACGAAGGTGAGGGAGGGCAGCTCCATTTTTATCTGTTTTAAATAAGCTTCTGGGTCACAAAGCACTTGAAAAGGGGGTTCTAGGGCAAACCCCTGGATCGCACCTTCCTCCTTAAGGTCCTTCCCATCTCTGGCCGTCAGCAGCCCCCTCCTTCCTGCTGGGGAAGTTCCTGCAGGCTGGGGAATGGGGCCTGATCAAGGGCTCGGGCAGCCTGGAGTCTGAGTCCCCTGGGCCACACCGTGCTCTGCAAGCCTCAACTCCCACATCCCTGTGGGCAGCAGGTGCAGGGGCCTCGGGGGCCGCAGAGCAGCGTGTGCACTTGGGGCCGCCGGCTGGTCTGGGTTTGAACCCAGCTCTGCCACTTGCCCCTCATGTGGCCTGATGCCTCTCTGGGCCTCAGTTTCCTCAATTGTGAAGCAGGAATGACCAGTCCTGACCCACAGGGCTGTCCAGGCGATTTGATGGAGAGGCCTGTAAGTCAGGTGCCTGCACCCGGGAAGCCTCTGCCTCGTATCATTATTGTGGAGTGGTTGAGAGGCTCACAAGTGGGTGAGGGATTGAGAGGGGCTGGGAGGAGGAGAAGGAGGGGTGGGGGAATGAGACAGCGTACCCAGGTGCCCCCCTCACGACCCCCATGAGCGGGAGCCCCTCAGCAGCAGCCCCAGAGCCATTCTGGCCAGGGTGACTGTAGCTTTGGCCTCGGGGGAGAGCTCAACTCCGCCTGGCCTCCCCCCAGACGGTGCTGGGTCCAGCCCTCCTCTGGCCTCAGCTGCTGTGGCTTTAATCAAAAGAACAATCTGTTTGCCTCAGAATCAGACCCAGATTCCTTTTCCCACCAATGTTCCCAAGGCCTCCAGGGACCCAGGCGGCCCATCCTGGCTCCGGCCCGTCTCCTGTCCCAGGGCCCCAGGGCCCAGGGCCCAGGCTCTGCTTCCTCCTCCCCCTTCTACTCCGGCTTGGGTCCGGGGAGTGCAGGAGGTGGGAGGGAGCAGAGACTGGAACCAGGGTTGGCAAGCCAGGGTGACCCAACTGCCTGCTGGGCCCTGCCTACCAGGCTGCCTGGAGGGGCCTGTTCCCCCCCCCCCCCCCCCCCCCCCGCGCCCCGGGGACACTGGGTCCTGACTGCAGACGGCTTAAGGCTCCACTCAGGCAGTGATGGCTGCTCAGGACAGCAAACTAGAATGACCTGCTCCCCTGAGCATCTGAGACCTCCACCCAGGGTCACCCCCTAAAAAAGCCCCAAGCCCAGCATATATTGACCACTGACTGCTGCCCACTTCTCACTGTCAATACCATCGTTTATCCTCAGGCTGACCCCGAGCTGGAAGCAGCCCTTACCCCCATTGTACAGATAAGAAACTGAGACTCCAGGAGGCGGGGTGACTGCCCAGGGTCACTGGGTTAGTGATTGGCCATGGAACCCAGGTCCACCTGACTCCTAGGACCCTGGGAGATCTCAGGCCAAACTCAAATGTAAGTACCACCCCCCTCCACCACCCCCCCAACCCCCGCCACACACTCACACCCACAGGGCAGGTGGGGCCACCAACCCAGGTGACCTAGGGAAGGAGGAGCGGAAGGGCCTCGCTGGGCCACAAAGGCCCCGGGGGTGGGCAGAAGGGGAGGCCTCCCACCCCAGGCCCGGGCCCAGGGGACGGGAGGAGTGGTCGAGGGAACAAAGGGCGGGCGGCGGGGGGCGGCGCGGGGCGCGGCCGGGCAGGTGGGGGGGCAGGTAGGGGCCGCTTCCGCCGGCGGGAATCCCGGGCCCCCCTCCCCCTAAGCTTCACCTTTTATGGTAAGGCGGCCGGGGCGGCGGGGCGGAGGGAGCCGAGGGGGCGGGGAGGGCGGAGGGGGCGGGAGGCGCCGCGCCGCTCCCGGCTCTGCTCGCTCGGGCGTCGGACCGGAGCCGCTGGGGCGCAGGCGACGCAGGTAAGCGGGACGCGGGGCGCGGGGGGGCAGCCGTCCTTCCGACCCTGCCCCGGCCGCACACAGGTGACAGCGCGGGCAGTCCCGGGCCGGAGCCCCCCCCCCCGGCCCCCCGCCCCCCCCCCCCGGCCGGGACCCCAATCCCGGCGCTCCGGGTGGGGGCCCGCGGGGGGCGGGGTTGCAGCCTTGGGTCCCGGCTCCCGGCCTCTGTCCCCGGAGCGGGGGGAGGGCTGGTGTCCCTGCCCCGGAGCGGGGCGGCGGGGTGGGGAAGAGGTGGGCAGGGCGGAAGCTCCCGCACAAAGAGGACAGCGTCCCGCACATGGATCGAATTAAAGTCCCTGGCGGCGCCCCACAGTGACCCGGCCAGCCGCCCGGCTGGGCTGCTTGCGGGAGGGCGCCGGGTTTCCGGAGCTCCGGCCCCCTTCACCCAGGCCGGGTCAGGCGAGGGGGAAGGAGGGGCCCCAGGGCCGCCCCTCTCTGGGCCTCAAATCCCCGTCGGGGCCTGGGAAGGGGTGTGCTTTGGGGCATCTTGGCCGAGATCCTCCCCCAGCCCTGCTCCGGGGACCCCGGGAAGAGCCCGGGCAGCGCCCAGATTCCTGCTCTTGATGACGGAAGCCAAGTCGGGTACTCCCAAGTCCCCCAAGCCCGCTGGGCCCCTGGGGGCTCCTCCCCATCAGGGGCTGGATAACCAGCTGGGCTTCTCTTTGCACCTACCAAATACCAAGATCTGGAGCGCGCTCTCCTTGTATTCTCTCAGCCAACCACCTTTCAGGACAGACTTTTTTATTCTCACTTTAGGAAAAAACTGAGGCCCAGAGAGGGTCAGTAACCTGCTCCGGGTGACCCAGCAGGAAAGAGGTGGGGCCGGGCATGACTCCAGCTCTCTGTGCTTCCTTGGTTTCCCTGAGGTGGGGGAGAGAGAAAGGGAACCCTACCCAAGGCTGCAGGGCCCTCTGCAGGGGCTGGGCGCAGCCTCATTCCCACCTCCAGCAAAGTGTCATTCTGAACCAAGCGTAGGTTGCTTTGTCCAAGTATTAAAGAACAAAGCTTACAGGTGGTTCCAGAAGTTTTTGGAGGGGGTTAAGAAGGAGTACGAAGGAAGGGAAAGAGAGGGGCCACCACTGGGACGCCGGCCAGCTCAGCCAGCCTGTCCCTGCCCTGGGCTACAGCCTAAAGCCGGGCTGGGTGGCTGGCTGGCTGGATCTCAGGCTTCTTCCTTCCTCTTGACAGGAAATGACTTTCTTTCCCTTTGTTCCCATTTTCTCTGCTTACCCAACTAGATCTCAGATTCCCCCTCTGCGGGAGGAAGGATGGGGGCGGAGGGTCCTGTGGGTGCGGCTGGCCAGGAGCTCCACGGGGAGCTTTCTCACTCCTACCCCACTCCAGGGTGACCTGGGGGCCGTGGGACCTGAGGGAGGCTGAGGCTCCCTCTCCTAACAGCCCGAGCTGGACTGACAGGCTTTGAAAATCCCCAGTGGGGGCCCCTTCCCCTGGGGCCTGAAGTCCCTGCAGGAACTGCAGGGAGGGATGGGGGGGGGGCGGAGCCGCCCAGCTGTGAACATCTGGCCTCAGAGCGAGGACACTTGCCTTGGATGTTTTCTGAGAAACCCACAGATCTGACTTCCCGGAGGGGTGGGCTGGGGTGGAGTGGGGGTCAGAGCAGGGTCGGAGGGAGGCAGAGGGAGCATTCACAGCAGTCTCTGGGGATGAGCCCAGAATGCACTGACCACAAGAAAATCTATCCGGATTGGGCCATTCTGGGGTGAGAACAGGCCTGAGGATTTGGAGGCCCCGTACCATCCAGGGAAGGAAAAGTGTGTCGTCTCAGGGCCAAGGACACCCCCGGGACTCAGGTCAAAGGGGGCTCAGTTAGAATTCTGAGCCTGCCAGGACTGCTAAGATGACCTGGAAAAGTCGCTTAACCTCTCGGGGCCTCACATGGAACTACCCGTAAGGTAGGGGCATGAGGGGCTGTGTTGCAAATGAGGTGCATTTTGAGGCTCGGAAAGCACGAGCTGCAGTGCCCGGCACATAGCAAGTGCTTGGTCAGTAGGTGCCATTGCTGTCGTTTCTTGGATGTGAATCTCTGAAAGCTGCTTACAAAAATAGACTCTTAAGCTTATAACCGAGCGTAAGGCCAAAGTGTCAAACTATATGGTTTTGACCTCTGACCATGGCGGCCAATATCAGCAAGCATGTATACTTCCAGACATCACTTACAGAACAAGATGCAAAAGGAAAGTCCTTTGAAAGCACTGTTAAAGCTTTCTTCATATGTTGGTTTCTTATTCAGAACAGGTATTTTATTAATCAGACTGAGCTATATGTTTTAACCAAACATATAAACCAGTTTAAGAGGAATAGAGGCACATTTGTTGTGTTTGTTACTATTGTTCCATCAGTCACCAAGAGAGTCCAAGGTGGCCAGTGGACTTTGAGATACAGAGGGGGGCCCTCTGAGTGGTCACTTGGGCTCCAAGTCTGCCACTGGGGTCCCTCAGGGCCCTCAGCCCCTACCCACCCGGCCCCACTTCTTGAGATTCATTCACTAGGTCCCTGTTTATTCTTCTCCCTGCACACCTGTGGGCTGAACTTTGGAGCCATATCCAGGTGGCTCAGCTGGAGAGTGAGTTAGAAAGCTCAAACTGGGCAGAAGTCCTGGGAGCCCAGTGAGGACCCCTGGCTGAATGTGGTCAACTTGCCCTCCCTCCACCCGAGTGGCCCCACCTCAGCCTTGGCCTTGGAGGCTACTGTTTGCAGTCACCACCTGGGGCATGGAAAATGAGCTCCTTGACATCAGGAATGCTTCCCTGCTCCCAGATCCATGTTCTGATGTCCACGCTGGACTTGGGTCACAAAGATTACGGGTACAGCTGAAGTCACATGCAGTCACTTGGGGAGGTAGGGGCAGACGTGGTGACAGGGAGCCAACATGTCCTGTGATGGGCTGTCATCACCCTGCGGAAGCAGACGGCTGCTCCCAGGAGGGGGTCAGGAATCAGGGGAGGCTTCCTGGAAAAGCTGGGCCTCTAAGAAAAAACTGACATTCGCCCTTTGCGGGGCAGGGGAGGAAAAACAAGGGGTGGAAACACTCCAAGGCCAGTAAGAGAAAAAGTTGAGAAAGGGTGAGCGGTCCAGGGTGGTCAAAAAAGAAATTGAGGGGCACCTGGCTGGCTCAGTTGGAAGAGCGTGCAACTCTTGACCTCAGAGCTGTGGGTTCAAGCCTCATGTTGGCTGTAGAGATTACTTCAAAATAAAATCTTTTTTAAAAAACTTTTTTAGAGAGTGAGGGAGAGAAGGTGGGGGAGGGGGAGAGGGAGAGAGAGAGAATAGTAGGCAGGTTCCATGCTAGGCATGGCTTGATCTCATGACCTGAGATCATGACCTGAGCCGAAATCAAGAGTCAGACCCTTAACTGACTGAGCCACCCAGGCACCCCTAAAAATAAAATCTTTTTAAAAAAGTTGAAGCCAGAGGAATTTGGACTTCATTTTGAAGGTAGTAGGGAGCTATGGAAGGTTTTTGAGTACAGGAGAGAGAGATTTATGCTCTGGAAAAGATCACTCCAGGGACAGGGCAGGAGGCAGGACTGGAAACCACTGGGTCTCCTATCCCTACCTCACCCCAGTGCCTGAACCAGAGCCTGGTTTTGGAGATGGGACAGAGTGAGAGATTCTGACGATAGAATCAAGACTTGATTGGATATGGAGGCTGATACTGAGAAGAGGATGCCGGCAGTGGGCTGGGCTGGGCTGGGAGAGGGTGACAGAGCCACGTGGTCAAGAGCATGGACCCTGGATTCAGATCCTGGCTCTGCTGCTGCATGACCCTGAACACCTCTCTGAGCCTTCGCTTCTCCCTCTGCCAGGATAGACATAGCGCCTCTCCCCCAGCGGCCGGGCCGACTTAGGAGTGAGTGGGCAGAAAGGGCTTCGGATGGTGGGTGCAGAGTAGGCCTTGATCCATGGTAGCTCAGATTGATCTTCTGTCCCCTCTGCCTCCAGGAACCCAACCCTGATGCTCTGACTGGTCACGCTCATTCCCTCCCACAGCAGAGCTGGCCTGGACCCCCCCACACCCCGCGGGACTTTGACCCTCCCAGGAGGATTGGGTCCCAGGTGAGGGAGGTAACTGGTGTGTGGCCCCGCGGCAGGCAGGGCCCTGGGCTGGGACCCAGCAGATGGCTGCCCTGGGGGTGGGCAGCTGGAGGAGCTGCTCCTTCTTCACGCTTCTCAGATGAGGAAGATTAATTATTTGTGAGGTGAGCAGGGCAGGGCTGCCCTTTGCTTCCCCCGGGGTGTGCAGGTTGGGGGCAGGGGCGGTCAAGGACTGCTGGGTCCCCTCCCTGTGGCCAAGCCACCTGGTGGACACCTGCCCTCCCCCCGCAGGACATCCCCAGCCCCTCCTCTGTCTCTGTCATGTTAGGAGCAGGGAGGCTCCGTGCCCCGGGGATGCCTGTCTGGCTAGGAGGAGTGCAGTCCTGGGCCCGAAGCCCTGCCCCAGCCTGAGCCCCACTCTGTCCCCAGCCCCAGCAGGAATCGAGACAATGGCCTCGAAGCCGGGGAAGAGGGTCGCCTCGTCTGTCTTTATCACGCTGGCCCCCCCGCGGCGAAACATGGCAGTGGCTGAGGAAGTGAAGTGGGCGTCTTGTGAGGCCTGGCCTGGCCACCCCTGGGGGCCCCCTGCTGCCGTGAAGGCCCCCGGGGCTGGCTCGGCAGGGAGGCCCAGTCCTTGGACACCCCCTGCCAGGGCGGCAGCCACCGTGCCAGCCGTACCACCTCAACTCTCCAACGGAGGTAAGAAGGTGAGGGGACTGGGCAGGAGGCTGGATCAGAGGCAGCACGGAGGTGGGGAGGAAGGGGCAGGCTCTGAGCTCATTCAGGTGTCCGTTCATTCATCGAGCACCTACTGTGTGCCAGGCAGACTCAAGCCCGCCTGCCCGGGTTTGAATCCTGGCTCTTCCACTTGGCTGTGTGATGTTGGCAAGCCACGTACCCTCTCTGGCCAGTGGGCAAAGCAAGTGCAGAGGCCCTGAGGCAGGAATGGATTGGGCGCGTTGAAGGACCTCAAAGGTGGTTTATTCTCTCTCAAGCTCTGCCATTCACTTGCTGTGTGGTCTTAGGCGAGCTGGGTCTTTGCTTGGTTTCCTCCTCTGGAAAGTGGAAATTTGGTCATGGAGGTGATGCACCCATCGCAGAACGGGTACACTTCATACATGGCTCTTCCTTTACCTTGAGCTTGGCTCTGCTGCCATGGTGTCGGAGAGCCTTGGAGACTCCACTCCATGGAGTCTTAGCTGTTGGTTGGGTAGAAACGAGGAAGGAGGACAACGCTGGGGCAGGGGGATGGCTTGCCTTACAGGGCACCAGGTGGAATAAGGCGGCCCAGAGACATCAAGGATGAGCCCCCGATATCCCCTGCGTGCCGAGTCGGGTGTCCTGCTGTCCTTGAGCAAGGTTAGGGTAGCCCTGTGCATCCATCACCGTAGAAACCACCTGAAGACCAATAGGAACTGCCAATTCCAGGAGGCCAGAAAAGGGCAGAAGAAGGGGCCACGTGTGTACACACGTGGGAATACACAGACATTCATGTAACATGCCTCTTCACGTGACACGACCTTGCAAACTGATCTTTCCTTCCTAACCATGCATCCCAAGAACACAACCTCCTCCAGGTGCTTCCATATAGAACCAGGACCATGAGGACCAGAATTCACCCAGCAGGATGTGTGACCCAGGGGGAAAGAATGACGTCCCTTCTGGGCAGGAGAGGGAGTCCAGGATGTATAGCGTAGATGCCCCTAATGCCAACACTTCCAGGACATTTTCCTGGGTTATTGGAATATCAGAAGATCCCGGGAGTGTGATAACACAAGCGGACCTTCCCTGGGAGGGGGCGCCCAGCAGTGGCTGGTCAGCTGGTCCGCCATTTTGTTTTCCGATTTGGCCCGTGGGCAGAGCTCAGGGAATCTTGGGGTTCAGCCTCGCTTGAGTGAGACGAGTTCTAGGCGAGCAGCTTGGGCCTGAGTCTGGTCTGAGCACAGAGCACAGAGCAGGCCCTGGGGCCCTGCCAGTTGCTTAGACCCATCTCAGTTGTAGGCTGTCATCTGACACCCCAGCTACAGCTTGTCCCCTGGGGAATCCACACACATTGTTTTTTTGGCCCTTTCATCCTGACAGAGGTCCCCACCTTTCCCTCACTCCGTCCCCACTCCCCTCTAGATGCTCACGGGCACTGAGGCAGCCTCACCAACTCGCATTCAGAAGTCAGTTTTTCTCTGGGCTTCTTTTTAAAAGTCTGCTCTTCCTGCTCCTGGACACGTGACCCTGGTTCAACTGGGGCCCTCTGCACACCTGCCTGCAGGCCTCTAGCCCCTGTCTGCCTTGAATTCCTGTCCTGGCCAGGACCGAAGGCAGAGTCCCGAGTCCCGGGCGAGGCCCGAGCACTCCTGCTGTCTCTCCGTGATCCGGTTCCTGACTCACTTCAGCTCATCTGGAGCAAGGTTCTCACACTGGAGCAGCCTCAGCTCAGGAGGGGGCTTGTTCAAACACAGCCAGCTGGCCAGGCCCCACCCTGGGTGTTTCTGATTCAGCAGGTCTGCGGTGGGGCCGGAGAATTTGCATTTCTTACACATTTCCACGTAATGCAATGCCGATGCTCTGGTCTGGGGGAACTATTGTTCTAGCCCAAAGGCATTAAGCAAGTGAAGCTTGGGGAGTAGAAGCCTAGTTTTCCAAGTGTGGGCTTTCAACCAGCAGCTGCAGCTTCACCTGGGAACTTTTCAAAAATGTAAATTCTCAGGCTCTTCCCCCAAGCCTGCTGAGTCAGAAGCTCTGGGGGTGGGGCCCACCATCTGCATCTGAGCAAGCCCCCAAAGGATTCTGTGGCTTACTCACAGGTCTAGAATAATCCTCCCATCTGTACCCCCTCAGTCCTTGGGGGAAAGGGGAGGGGGCTCATTTTCTTTGCCAAATGGATAAGAAACCTCTAAGCCCAGAGACGTGCCCCAGTGAATCAGCAGGGAATGGGACCAGACCCCGGGTCTTGGGCGGGAGGAGCAGCGGGTGGGCAGGGCCTGGGGCACCTTCCGTCTGCTTTCCATGGGTGTCTAAGGCAGTCTGACCTTGTGAGGCCTGGCCTACCTTGTGCCCCAGAGATAGGAGGGGAGCAGAGGGCAGACTCAGACCAGATTCCCTGCCCTTTCTCCCTGGAGCACTATTAATAGCACTCTCCCTGCACGTGGCAGCCGACAGGATTTTCGGGGCGTGCTTCCCTCCTGACCCGCAGGCACCTCCTCCAGGGGAGCTGGGCAGCGCCTTGTTGGGACTGCCTGGAGGGGTTGGAGTTGCCGCACAGTGTAGGGAGCTGTTCCTGGACAGAGGCAGGAGCTCTGCAGATCCTCAGCCCTCCTCCCGCCATCTGGGCCCCTCCCCTTCTGTGAACCTCTGTAAGACCTCGGCTGTCCCAGCAAGAGTTAAGCTCTCCTGGGGCGCCTGGAGCCGCCTGAGTCTCAGGTGGCTCAGGCAGGTTAAGCATCTGACTCTTGATTTTGGCTCAGGTCATGATCCCGGGGTCCTGGGCTCTCTGCGCAGCGGGGAGTCTGCTTCTCCCTCTTCCTCTGCCTGCCACTCCCCCTGCTCCTGCTCTCTCTCTCTCTCTCTCTCAAATCCTTAAAAAAAATAGACTTAAGCTCTCCTGCACTAACCATGAAAATGATGTCATGCCAGGGTGTTTTTCTTATGTATGTACATGTGTTTGCTGTTGGGTGGCTCTTTTTTAAATTTTATTATTTTTTATTTTTTAGAGAGAGTGCGAGCTTGTGCACGAGTGGGGGAGGGGAAGGGGCAGAGGGAGAGAATCTTTTTTTTTTTTAAGATTTATTTATCTATTTGAGAGAACGAGAATGAGAGAGAGAGAGAGAGAGAGTACATGAGAGGGCGGAGGGTCAGAGGGAGAAGCAGGCTCCCCGCCGAGGAGGGAACCTGATGCGGGACTCGATCCCGGGACTCCAGGATCATGACCTGAGCCGAAGGCAGTCGCTTAACTGACTGAGCCACCCAGGCGCCCCCAGAGGGAGAGAATCTTAAGCAGGCTCCCCTCTCAGGCTCAGTGTGCAGCCTGATGTGGGGCTCCATCCCAGGAGCCTGAAATCATGACCCGAGCCAAAATCAAGAGTCAGATGCTTAACCGACTGAGCCACCCAGGCGCCCCAGGTGGTTCTTTTTAAAATTATTATTTATTAATTTTTAAAAGATTTTATTTATTTATTTGAGAGAGAGAGAGCACACAAGCATGAGGAGGGGGAGTTGCAGAGAGAGAGAGAAAAGGAGAAGCAGACTCTCCACTGAGCAGGGACTCTGGGATCATGACCTGAGCGGAAGGCAGACGCTTAACCGACTGAGCCACCCAGGTCCCCCAAGTAATATTAATTTTAATGATATATATTATGCCATCCGCTACAGTAAAATGGTCATTTCAGCCGTAATTATGAAAATTATCAATGAGATATTTTAGATTCTTTTTTTCAGCCCCGAGTCTTCCAGCACATCTCGGTGTGGACCTGGATGGGTTATTTAACCAGGGTGGTGGTTCCCACACTTCGGTGGCATATTGTCACTGGGAGGGTTTCTTATGCTTTCTGTGGCCGGACACCCCCCCCACTCCCACCCCAGGTTCTGATTCTCCAGATCGGGGCCAGACCCAGAAGGTGCATTTCTGGACATACTTCTAGGCACTGCTGCTGAGCCAGGAACCACACTTTGAGAACCACGGCCTTAGGGGTTGAGTTTGCTTGTATTTCAACAAGGACCTTCTAGCAAGGATTTGGGGCCCTTGAGTGTCCAGGTAGGGGAGGGCTGTTATGGAGGGTTCTGACAGCTTCTGTTTTCTGAGCCCATGCCAAGTGCCCTCTCCTGTGCTAAGCCCTTCCCATCCTCACAACAGCCTGGAAAGATTGATACCCATGTTTCAACTGAGCAGACAGACCCAGAGAGGTTAAGTCTCTTGCCTAAGGACACACAGCAAGTCAGCGGCAGAGCCAGAGATAGAACCCAGGTCTGGGGGACCCTGGACCTGAACTCTTGGCCCCCACGCTGTATGGCCTTCTGGGTAAGTGGACACCCTTTCTGCCCACCTGCAGAGACTCAGACCAACCCTCTCTCCCCTTTTGTTTGCAGGATGTTCTCCCCCTCCTCCTACTTTGGATGGCGAGGACACACTCCCCGACCTGGACCTCCTCCCACCTCCACCACCCTCCCCTGATGAGGAGCCTCCTGCCTCGATGGGAGCATCACTCATTTCAGACTTAGAGCACCTGCCTCCGCCCCCACCCCCACCCCAGGTACGGCCAACCCCTTGGTCTCCCCCACCCCCAGTGGAGCCCCAGGGGCCCTGGGAAGGCCGGGGAGGGGGGTGCATGGGGGAGAGTCCCAGCCTTTCAGGGATTTAAGCCTGCAGGTTGCTCCTGCTTGAGGGCTGTCCCTCTTCGAAACTTTCAAGCTGGTAAAAGTTGGTCCTGTTTTTGTAGGCCCCCAGAGGAGGGGTGCCATGCCCTTTTCCCCCTGGGGTACCCCCGCTTCAGCTCTGAGAAGATATTTTTAATCCTCTGCCCTTAATAGAGGCCATTGTATTAATGGGCAGGATTCCAGGCCAGGGAAGAACGATTCTAGGAGATTCTTCAGAAGTAGACAGAAGTAACTTTGGGCCCCCGCCACTGCTGTCAACCTTCCTGCTGAGTGACATTAGGTCACTTGCTCCTCTGTGCCTCGGTTTCCTCCTCTATCAAGCGGGGCTAATTGTGCTTGGTGCCATCAGAGGAGGAGCAGAGCTGAGAGGGCTGTGTGGGGTCCCCACCTGATGACACCTCTCCTGCCCTCCCCCTATCTCCCCACAGTCCCTGGTGGAGGGGCCTCCACTCCAGCCCCAGCCTGGTTTTGCCGGGCCCGCAGGGGAGGAGCTTCTGCCTCCCCCAGAAGAACCTGTTGGCCTCCACGAGAAAGCGGCATCCACAGGTATGGACTCAGGGCTGGAAGGCTTCCGGGTGGTCTCCAGGGGCCTCCCTGGACAAGCATGAGCTTCCAGGTGGGAACCAGGAGAGGGGGGGACCACCAGCACCTGTTCCCGCTCATGGTTCAGCGATGAGCCTTATAACTGTACATCAATTTTATGTTTATTGCCTAAATCTTTTTCCTTTATAACTGAAATCCATTTTTTATGCTAGGTTTTTTTTTTTTTTTTTTTTATATTTTTTTTTTTTGAGGGGGGGGTGCAGGAGGGGCAGAGGGAGAGAGAGTCTTAAGCAGACTCCTCCCTGAGCATGGAACCTGACGCAGAGCTCAATCTCATGACCCTGAGATCATGACCTGAGCCTAAATCAGGAGTCGGATGCTCCACTGACCGCGCCCCCCAACCAGGCACGCTGAGCTGAAGTCCATTTAAATATTGATCAGCAAAATGTGCTATGATAGCAAAATGCCTTGAACTTTTTCACTATTTAATTTTTTGAACACATAATGTTCTTGCGTAGACAAAATAAAAAGCACGGACAGGCATACAGTGAAAAGTCGCCCCTTTGCACCATCCGTGTGTGCCCCTCTTTCCTGCCAGATGGGCAGCCTCTGTTGTTAATGTCTCACATATCCTTCCAGAGTTATTTGATGCATATGCAAGCGAATACAAATATGTGTCTGCCCTCCCGACCCTGGCCCATTTTCCCACAAACTGTAGCAAATTCTGTGCAGTTCTGCACCTTGCTTCCTTTCCTTCAAACATCTTAGAGCTCACTCCACATCTGAACGTAAAGTGGCTCCTTCTTTTTCACAGCTGTATAGTATTCCTTATCAGGGCCCTGCCGTATGCATTTAGCCAGTCGCCTGTGGACGGGCACTTAGGTGGTTTCTTGCTGTGACAAATGAGGCTGAGACGAATCGTCTTGCACGTAGGTCATTTTGCCTGCGTGCAAATTTGTGAGAGAAATTTCTAGGAGAGGAAATACCGTCAAAGGGTAGGTACATTTATAACTTTGATCTTTTTTTTTTTTTTTTAAGATTTTATGTATTTGACAGAGAGAGACAGCAAGAGAGGGAGAGTGGGAGAGGGAGAAGCAGGCTCCCCGCTGAGCAGGGAGCCTGATGTGGGGCTCGATCCCAGGACCCTGGGATCATGACCTGAGCCGAAGGCAGACGCTTAACGACCAAGCCCCCCAGACGCCCCTATAACTTTGATCTTTTTGCCACATTGGCCTTTGTGGTCCTCTCGATCTGCATCCCCCCCACCACCCAGCAGTGTCTGAGGGCATGACCTCCCCCAGCCTCCCCAGGCCCGCGTGTTAGCCATTGACTTAGCAGCTACTAAGTGCTTACCAGGCACCAAAAGCCTTCTCTACTCCAAGGTTATAATATAATTCTCTGGCTTCTTCTAGTCTTATGGTTTCATTTTTCACACTTAGATCTTTGATACATTTGGAATTATCTGGGTATAAAGCTGTCACCATGGAGCCTCCTTTAAATTTTTACAGATGGCAACCCACTCGTCCTGATGCTGTGTCCTTTGATTTAGGCTTTTTTTTTTTTTATTAAAGATTTTATTTTTAAGTAATCTCTACACCGAATGTAGGGCTCAGACACAACCCTGAGATCAAGAGTCACACAGTCCACCGACTGAGCCAGCCAGGCGTCCGTCCCTGATTTAGGCTTTCAGAGGCTGCTCACGATCCTTTTTACTGCTCCTCCTAAAATGAGGCCACACTCACAACCCCGGGGGCTCGAGGCAGAGACCTGGCACTCTAGGCTTGTCCCGTGCGGTGCCTGGGCGCGGTTCTCCCAGGCCGGGTGGCTGACATCCTGTGTCTCCTTCACCCCAGACGTCTGTGCCTTCTGCCACAAGACCGTGTCACCCCGAGAGCTGGCCGTGGAGGCCATGAAGAGGCAGTACCACGCCCAGTGCTTCACGTGCCGCACCTGCCGCTGCCAGCTAGCTGGGCAGAGCTACTACCAGAAGGACGGGCGGCCCTTCTGTGAGTCCTGCTACCAGGTAACCCCCTGCGGCTGACCTCCAGGCACCAGGCACCGTGCTGGGCACTTGGAAGGTGTCCCGTTATTTCATGCCCCACAGTTATCCTGGGAGGCAGGCCCAGTGACCCATTTCACAGATGAGGAAGTTGAGGCTCAGCGAGGGGAAGGAGCTCAGCCAAGGTGTATTAGTTTTCTGTGGCCGCTGTAACAAATCACCACAGGGCGCCTGGGTGGCTCAGTCGTTAAGCGTCTGCCTTCGGCTCAGGTCATGATCCCAGGGTCCTGGGATCGAGCCCCGCATCGGGCTCTCCCACTCCCCCTGCCTGTGTTCCCTCTCTCGCTGTCTCTCTCTCTGTCAAATAAATAAAATCTTTAAAAAAGAAACAACAACAAATCACCACAAACTTTAATGGCTTCAAACAGCACACATTTATTCTCTTACAGTTCTGGAGGTCGGAAGTCCCTAGGCAAGTCTGCACTCCCTCCAGAGGCTCTAGGGGACAATCTGTGTCCTTACCTTTTCCAGCTTCTGAAGCTGTGTCCCTTGCATCCCTTGGTTCCTTCGTCCACCTTCAAAATCAGCAGGGTGGCGTCCTGTGTCCTACTTCCTCCTTCTGTGTCAAGTCTCCCTCTGCCTTCCTCTTACGGGGACACCTGGAATGGCACTTAGGGCCCACCCAGGATCGTATCCCCAGGTCAAGACACTGAACTCAGTCATATTTGTCATTAAAGGTAGTCACAGGTTCCAGGGATCAGGCCCGGCCTGTCACACACGTCACACTCCAGAAGGTGGTGGAGCTGGGATTCTCCCCCAGCCCTGTCTGGCTCTGGAGCCTGCCTTTGGTCTTGCCTCTGTCACCTAAAGCCACAGGTTCTGATGCACGATCTCACAGAAATCTGTGTCACCCCTGAGTACCAGATGCAGTCTGGGAGAGCTAGTTTGGATGCCTCGATGTTAGAGTTGCTAGCACTCCGATGGCGTGGGGTGTGCAGCCCACTCCCAGACGCGTCCCCTGGCTGTGTGCAGGCCTCACCTTGTTCTCATGAGTTGGTAGCACCTGGCAATCTGCACTTTTAGCAAGTCTCTCAGCGATTCTGATACACACACTGCTGTTGGAAAGCCACTGATTGGAAGGGTTAGAATATTTGGAGGACTATCTAGTAAAATCCAAACAATCTGATGACAGTCTCAACCCATCACCGAATCCAGTGAGGCACCATGGGGGCAGCAAAGGGGCCAGGCCATCCCCACCGCATCCCTCTGACCCCATCAGATGACAGCGGGGGATAGCCTTAGCCTCTTCCCTCAGCTTACAGCCAGGCAGGAGTGAGGCACTGAGGGGAAGCAGGGGCGAGGGTGGACTGACAGCTGGAGGCAGCAAGAGGAAGACTCTAGGCAGTGTTCCAGGGAGGGAAGGGCTGCCCCCAGGACAGGGAGAGAGGGGAAAATGTTGTCCTCACCGAATGGGAGCAGAGACAAACATACCTGTCTGTCTGGATGAAATCAGGTTAAATGAACAGGAGCATAGCCAGGAAGGGAAGAGACCTGTCTAGAAGAGAAGGTGGACGGGCTGGAAGGTCTTTGCTCTGCCTCAGTAATCTCCCTCTCTCCCTCCCCCCGCTTCCCCCTCCCTTCCCCCATCCCTCCCTCTTCCCCTTCCCCACCCCCTTCATCCTCCTCATTCCAGAAGGGATTTGAGGCAGCTTATAAGAATGCACAAATACCTATAGGAAACAATGTTGTACACTTAAAAATTTGCTAAGAGTGTAGCTCTCATGTTAAGTGTTCTTACCACAATGAAATTTCAGAGATATTTAAAGAAAGCAGAAGAGAGGAAAATCAAAGTAGAAAGGGAGATGAGACCAGAGGGAAAGTTAGCACCCCAAAATATATGAATAAAAGACCCCTACAGTCATTCCTAAAAGTGGGACATGGAATTTGACTCTGAGCTTCCCAGTGGCCAAATGGAAAAGGGAAAGAGTTCTGAGGTTTATTGTCTATAAGATCAAAAGCACACCAGTTCTTCCAGGAATTCCTTTTCCTGACTCTGAGGTTTAAGAGAGATTTCTCCTATGGGCTGTAGTGGACACTGGCCTTAAGCATGTCCAAGTAACAAAAAAATGCAGTAATAGCTTCTTGACAGGATTCCTTGCTGTAAGCCCAAGATACAATGCTAGGCTCGATTCACTTTAAGCCACGGTAGAGGTTTTGGGGCAGTGGTTACAGGCTGGTTGCATGAATGGGAGCCCTTCTCCTATAGCCCTGTGCTTCTGGGCCCCTGTGGGTCACCAGCCAGAAACCCCTTTCGACTGGGAGTGGGTACAGCCATTGGATGGCTCTGAGGCAATGTCCCTCTGTCCCAGGACACCCTGGAGAAGTGTGGCAAGTGTGGCGAGGTGGTCCGGGAGCACATCATCAGGGCCCTGGGCCGGGCCTTCCACCCTGCCTGCTTCACGTGCGTCACCTGTGCCCGGTGCATCGGGGATGAGAGCTTTGCCCTGGACAGCCAGGATGAAGTGTACTGCCTGGACGACTTCTATAGGTACGAGAGGGATCTGCACACTGGGTGGGACTCGGCCAGAACAGAGGCACCTGGCCTGAGCTCTAGGGGCTGGAGCAGAGCATTCCTGCAGGCTCTGGGCTCACAGAAACCCATCTGCCTCTTCCACACACCTTATATTTGACCACACACCTGCTTCTAGCAGACACTCCGGGTGCCTGCGCTGTGCCAGGCACTCCCCGTGGGTTAGGCCCTTTAATCCCCAAGCCTGGCCTGTCAGGCAGGTACTATTAAGCACTCTTTTACCAAATGTGGAAACTGAGGCAGGCAGCAGACAAGCCTCCCAGCTGGTGCATAGGGAAGTTACGATTCAAACCCCCAGACCCCAGGAGCTCCCCTTGGAACTAGAGCCTTATGAAGCAGTAGCCCCAAGCTGGGCGTCAGGCTCATGCCCCTGGGGTTGCTCACGGCCCAAGGGGAGAGACAGATGTGTCTGTTCAAAAGACAGGGAAGAAGAAGCAGCAGCAGCAGCAGTGACCTACAATACCAGATAAACGAAATGGGGTCAGCCCCACTGAACACACAGGAACACACAGGAGATTTCTTGGCTTTCTCAAATTCAAATGTTCCCCAGTCACTTCCTTGCCTCGAGCTAATTATACCCTGGGAAGCCGGGTCTAATCACACCGGTCTCTCCCTCCGCTCCTGCCAGGAAGAAAGGCGTTTGTGGCCGTGGAATCACACGGCAACGCGTCTGACATAGCTCGGGGAGGCGAGCGAGCGCCGCCCCGGCTCCCACAGCTAATTTCTGCGGTCCTGCCCGGAGCGCCTCGAGCGTGGGTTCCCTTCCCTCTAGGAAATTCGCCCCGGTGTGCAGCATCTGTGAGAACCCCATCATCCCTCGAGACGGGAAGGATGCCTTCAAAATTGAGTGCATGGGAAGGAACTTCCATGAAAACTGCTACAGGTGTGAGGTGAGTGGGGCGGTGAAGAGTTAGGATCGCGCTGCTGGGGGCAGGAGGGGGGGGGCGCCCGGGGAGGGGGGGGGTGCCAGGCCTGCGCTGGGCGCGGGGACTCGGGGACGAGTCAGGGTGGGGACTCAGCTCCCAAGGGCTCACGGCCCAGGAGCAGAGACAGGTAAGAATGGAGATCATTACAAATAGAGTCTATTAATCAGAGCTCCGAGTTAATGATAAAAACCAGGCCCATCCTGCTTTCCTCAAGAAAGGGAATCTCATGCGAAGGCTGTCGTTGAGGTCATTGATGAGATCATCAGGGCTCTCTCTCCGTCTCTCGGTTCTGCCTATGTTGTGTGTTTGCTTCATTTTCTCTTCCTGGGGGGCTAGCATCCTCTGTGAGGAGAGGGATACAGGCATGGTCATCCTTCCAATTTAGAAACCCCATCCAGGGAACCGATACCGTCTCAAGAGGGCCTCTGATTGGCCCAGCTTGGGTCACATGACCCAGTCATTCTGAGCCAATCACTGGCCGGGGGGCATGATTGACAACCCCCGGGGCCAATGAAGCAGGACCCTATGAGACCAAGAGGGGTTGCTACAAGCCTAGGAAAGAAGAAAGGGATGCTGCAGGGTGGAGGGAGGCTGACAGGGGGACGCTGCTGAAAAGCTGGTGCAGTAGCCCCTGCAGGAAATGCCCAGCACAGGGTCCCCCGCTCAGCAGCGTCCCATGCTTGCTTCAAAGCTCTGCTGTCACCGTCCTGAAATTCTTCCTCTTCGAGCAACGGGCTCTACTTTGCACTTTGCCCTGGGCTCTGCTATTATGTAGTCAGTCCTGCTGGGGAGGCTCCGAGTCCTCCCCTGCCTCTTCCTCCGTCAGTCCCATGTTGCTGATGTGTCTTCTCTGGCGATGGTGACAAAGGTAGCAACTTTTATGTGTGCCACCTAAGTGGGGTGTCCCAGAGGAAATCTCTTAGCCAGCCAGTGAGTAATTCCAAACATTTATTTTACTTTGCACTTATTTAAACAGATGTATGGAGCCAAGAGACTGTTTGCACTCAAGTGACAAGGGGGCTTGGTAGAGAAGTTGATATATTGCTCCATATTATGTTGTGCGTTGGCTATGGTTCAGGGTCCAGCTGATAACACATCTTACAAGAACAATGATGTCATTCAAGTGCTGTTATCACCACCCTAGCCCTCATTAAGCCTAGTGGCGATTAGCTTTTCCCTGAGCCTGGCTGGTGAGCAAACAAACCCTCCCTGCCTGCCCCTGGTCGGCTTGGCGAAGGCGACCGTGAGAGTCACCCAGGTTGCTGCTGTAAGTCAGGGCTTGGGCTCTAGCAGTTACCTTTCAGAGGGGAAGGCTTGAACCACTGTGGCCCAGAACTGATTCGGGGTGCTCTTTCCCCCAAGCAGGGAAATGGGCTCCAAAGTGCCATCTCAGATGAGGAACAATGAAAAAACTGAGCCTGAGAAAAGTGACTGCAACCCTGATCCGTCTGACCCGGTCTAGCCAGCTTAGGGCCACCCCCCCGCTCCCTCACAGACTGTGACTCGGTCGTAGTTGAGGTGTTTTCTCCCTTGATCCTAATTTAGGAGAGGTCACATGGGCCCCTTTGGGGCCTGAGGTTTGGCACTTGTTATTCTCAGAATGCCAAACAAGTGGCCTTTAGGAATAGTGCTCATCCCGTCACCTTGCGCGACTTGAGGTGCAGTTGCAGGGAATAGACACACGAGGGCGCCCTTCTCCCCTGGCTGTGCTGGGTCAGGATGGCAGCCGGGACCCCAAAGTTGTCTCTGTGGGGACCAGCCCCTCTGGTCTGAGCCATGCAACTTCCAGAGGGTGCCAGCTGAACCCTGAGCCAGGTTTCTGGACATTAATTGTTCCCATTGTCACGCTCCAGCGTGTGCCCAGGTGAGGCCCCGATGAGGTGTGGGCTGTGGCGGAATGGTAAAGTGGCCAAAGTTCGCCCCCAGTCCCCGTCCTCCTTAGTCCGACATCCTTTGGTGATTTGAAAAATTGGAGGTTTGTGCCAGTGTTGAAGCTGTACAGAGGAGCAAGAAAAAGACGCCTGAATTCAGGCTGGAGACCTGTCCTGTCCCAGTCCAGGACCAGCTGTACAGCCTGGGGCAAGCCTGTCTTTCTCCAAAACCTCAGTTTCCCCAGCTGTGAAATGAGGGGACTGGACTAGATTCCGTTATGCACCCAGCAGATGGTTATCGCAGGCTTGTGGTGTACCAGTCTCTGGTCTAGGTGGGACCTAGCAGGAAATGGGGTTACTGCCTCGCAGAGCTTACGTTCTCAAAGGGCTGCTGCTGGGTGGTCGCTAAGGCCCTTCTAGCTCTTTCCATGATCCCTCAGTGTCCATGATTCTCCGAGTGTCTTCAGTTCTCCCCTCAGCTGACTCCTCCCTCATCACTCACACCTTCGAGTGGATGAAAGCCCCCATGTGCCTCCTCTTCCCTGACCAAGACCTGGCCCAGGTGTGTTGGGAGAATGGAAATGAGAGGCCACGCTCCCGACCCTTCGGGAGCGCATTCTTTCCGTTCATTTCATCAGCAAATGCTGGGGGAGTCCCCACCCCGTGTGGGCTCTGTGCTGGCGTGCTCGGGCCTGGGGTCCATCCACTCGTGCCTTGTTTCCCGCAGGACTGCAGGATCCTCCTGTCTGTGGAGCCCACGGACCAAGGCTGCTACCCACTGAACAACCGCCTCTTCTGTAAGCCGTGCCACGTGAAGCGGAGTGCCGCAGGGTGCTGCTGAGGGCGCCCACTGGGGTTGGGGGGGAGCTTTCCTGACTCAGTTTGCCTTTCTGACCCACTCTTGCACACTTTCCTTCTGAGCCGGGACAGGGACCAGCCTGCAGCAGCTCTGCCCACCATGTCCGGGACACAGGGGCTGAGCCGCCCCAGTCCCCTCCCGGCTCAGAGGTGGGCAGCTGGCAGACCGTGCTCCTCAGACTTTCCACGCCTCCTTCTAGCCTCTGGGCTCTGGAAGCCTTGCAGACCAGGAGCCTCGTGCCAAAGGTTCCCACCTCCAAGGCTCTAGCCCCTCTCGAGTGCTGGCCTTGACCCCCATTTCCATGGGTGAGTTGGAGTGAGTTCTCTAGATGACACCCCATGTCCCTGGCAATGACCCTTTAGCTGTCCCATAGGGGATTACTAAGACCAGCCCTGGCTTGCAGGACTGAGGTGTTTGGGGAAACCTCCAGGGTCCCTTAAAAAGCCCTTTTCTAAAAATTTGAGATTTAAATGGTGAGAAACATTCTTTGGATTTGGGGCGAGGTGGGGATCTTGATAGGAAATGTCTCATAAACGTACAAGACTGTGGCCTAGTGGTGGCAACCTTGGACTTCTCACCTGGAGGACATGTTGTGTTGACATGGGGACCAGACCCAGGTATGAACCTGAACGGCAAGGGCAGGAGGAGAGGGTGGTATATGCTGATACACCAGGCACTCAGCCACCCGTCTGCCCTGCCTTCCGGCACTCCTCCCGGTGCGACAGTGATTCAGCATTGACTAAGTGCCATTGAATGTTGGGGAACAGGGCCCAGGAGCTCTGAGTGTTTCTCCTACAGCCTTGACTGGGGCTGTGCCCACAAACCCCGCACATGCGCACACTCTTCCAGGACAGTGCTGGGGTGACCCTTCAGCCTCCCTGTTGATCCCCGCCGTGTCCCACTCAAACCCTCCAACCCAGGCTACCCTGTGACCACTGCTTCCTCAAGGCCGTACCTAGAGGATTCTTCCCTTTTAAGGAAAATCACTTTTGTTGCTTTGTAACTCCTAAGACATCTTGTAGGGCATAAACAAATTAAACAAAATGTACTTTCCTCCCTGGGGTGGTCTGGATGCACCACGCACTCCTGTGGGGATGCCCTGGGCTCCGAGTACCAGGAGGGTCTCCCTGTAGAGCCCCTTAGGGGCCTCAGAGCAGAGCCCAGCTTCCAGCTCAAAGCTTGGAGAGTGAGTCCCAAACTCCGGGCATTCACGTACCACCTCCACAATTCTTGTCGTAAACGAGGACCTCCTGTTCTCTTCTTCCTGAATATTTTCTTTGACTCAACATACTTTTTTATTTTACTTCTTTCGAACTTTAGTCTTATGCTAAACAATATATCCTACAGTCACATCTTATGTGCTAGTTATGTTTTTTCCTATTACACATGAAAATAAATGCATACCTATTAGGAGTCCGTCTGTATTCCAACTAAGATCTCACCTAGGGAAACATTGGCCTTTGGCAGCAGCTGGAAAAATGTTGGTTGAGTGTCTGTTCACTGTGGTACAAGTGTCCAGGCGGCGCCTATACCTCCTTCCCCCAAACTGGGGCTCAGCTCAGCAGATGGAGGAACTCGTGTCCAGTGACAAAGACTTGCCTGCAGCAGCCGACCCCCAGGCATGCCGGCGCACCGTTCCTGGACATAGGCCACCAGCCGCAAGGGTGGCTGCAGGGTGCCCAGAGCGGAGCCTCTGCTGTGGGAGGCCCTCGGGGTGTGCTGTCTGCACATGAACAGAAAGTCGCCCTCCACGCTCACGCAGACAGCCAGGAGAGAAGCGTGCGTGGAGGAAGGAGCACTGGCCTTGGGGGTGCTCCAGACCTGGCTCTTGTCCGCTCTTAGCAGTGTGGACAAGTGATCAGTCCTGAGCCTTGATTTTCCTCATTTGTAAAATGGGAACAATGCTGACCTCTATCACAGAGGGTTGCTGTGGCCGAAAGAAAGAAATACCTGGCTGGTGAGGGTTCTCTCCCAGGGCTGGCTGGCAGCTCTTAGTGTTCCTCACTGGTCCTGTGATGCCCGTCAGAGACCGCTGGGGACATGCCCGCGGTGACAGCTGGGTTTCCCATGCCTGCTGCCGCACAAGAGGCCGCACGGTGCAGGGAACCGTGGGGCATCTCAGTACACAGGCGTTAGGAGAGACTCCCAGGACTCTAGGATTCCAGCTGGTATTGAGGGATTTGGGGAAGTATTTAGGGAGGTGAGGGTTTGCCCCCTGTGTGCTGTCAGGAAGCAGGGATGACAGACCGAGGGGCACGGTGCATTTCTATCCAGGAGGTGGCGCGACAGCAGGGATCGGTAGTCAGGCGACAGTGGCTCACGGCAGAGGATGCTGGCCATTTTTGCCATTGGCCCAAGAGCCACTCAGCCCGGCCGGCTCCCGGCTGCCAGGGGCCACTTTGCTCTCTTAGTCACCACATTCGGTTTGGTTTGGTTTTTCTTATCATGGATACATAACCTTGCGCTGGGATTCCTCATGTTCCAGCCTATTTCTGGTTGGTTGTGTTTGGAGGGATGGTATCTGGATGAAATTCTGGAGATGCTTTTGTCTTCCAGGCTGCATGTTTCGAAATCACTCCATAAGGGGACACTTCTGGGGAGCCTTCTGCAATGTGAAATGAGCCAGTCACAAAAAGACAAATACTGTAGGATTGCACTTCTGTGAGGTACTTGGCATAGCCCAACTCACAGAGGCAGAAAGTAGAAGGGTGGTTGGTTAGGGGCTGGAGGGAGGGGCGATGGGGAGTTGTTTGACGAGTACAGACTGTCAGTTTGCAAGGCAATATGTCCTGGAAATGATTGGAGGAGGTGGTTGAACAACAGTGTGATGGTGCTTTAAAAAGAAGCCACTGAACTGGACACACGTTCAAATGTTTAGGATTTGTTTAATGTTACATATATTTTACCATTAAATATATATGTAAGTATATTTAATGCTCAGAGAGAGGGAGAGGGGCTGATAAAGTGACAAAAGGATATAGGAATCCTGAGAGATCCTCCCGATGGGGGTGCCCAGGAAGGCTGGCCATAGCTTTCTGCAAACCCAGCAGGATGCAACTCAGCCGCGGGGACTTCCTGAAAGCAGGTGCTGTGCCCAGACACTAGAGGGCAGCATGGGCTAGCGAACTGGGTCACCAAGGTTCTCAGGCCCCTAACGGGGTCCTCAGCCTCTCCAGACACATGATGGGAATAATCCCTGCCTGTCCCGCTCGGTTTCAGCTCAGGTCGTGATCTCGTAGGTCTTAGACTCAAGCCCCTCATTGGGCTCTGTGCTCAGCTAGGAGTCTGCTTGAAGATTCTCTCCCTCTGCGCCTCCCAGCACTCAAGTGTGTGCGGGCATTTGCTCTCTCTCTCTCCCTCAAATAGATAAATACATCTTTTAAAAAATAGAATAAAGGGCACCTGTGTGGCTCAGTTGGTTGGGCAACTGCCTTTGGCTCAGGTCATGATCCTGGAGTCCCGGGATCGAGTCCCACCTCGGGCTCCCTGCTCGACAGGGAATCTGCTTCTCCCTCTGACCCTCTTCCCTCTCGTGCTCTCTATCTCTCATTCTCTCTCTCTCAAATAAATAAATAAAATCTTTTTAAAAAATAAAAAATAGAATAAAATACAGTTCTCAGGGGTACCTGGCTGGCTCAGTCAGTAGAATATGCAACTCTTTTTTCTTTTTTTTTTTAAGATTTTATGTATTTGCCAGAGAGAGAGCACAAGCCGGGGGTGGGGGGCAGCAGGCAGAGGGAGAGGGAGAAGCAGACTCCCCGGTGAGCAAGGAGCCCGATGCAGGACTCCATCCCAGGACCCTGGGATCATGACCTGAGCCGGAGGCACACGCTTTACCGACTGAGCCACCCAGAGGCCCCTGAGCATGCAACTCTTGATCTCAAGGTCTTGAGTTCAAGCCCCATTTTGGGTGTGGAGCCTACTTAAAATATTAATAATAATAATAATAATAATTTAAAAGATAGTTCTCATAAGGTGAATGGCTACTCATTGAAAAAAAAATCTATGAAGTAGGCACTATTAAGAATATCTCAGTTCAAAGACAAGGAAGTGGCATATCAGAGAGATGGTGTAACTGCCCAGGGCTGCACAGCAGAGTCAGTACCAAACCAGGTCCAGCGTAAACTACAGGCCAATGCTACAGACCCACATCACAAACACCCACTGTCTAGAATGTTCCAGAATCCATTATGTAATACAGATGCCAAAATCCAGCTGAAAAATTGTATGTCAACTATACTTAAAAAAAAAAAAAAAGCTGAAAAAAAAAAAACCCATAAACGTCTTGGGCCCCTCATCTCTTAGGCTGCAGGCCTCTCGCTCGCAAGTGAGAAGTAATGTCCCCAACTCATTCAGAAAGGACCTTGCATTCATAGTGTGTGAATCATACTCATCTCATGAATGATCATCAGATTAGAGACCACGGAGTGTACTCTGTTCACAGCCTTCCTTCTGCAGAAAAAAAACATGCACTTCCGTGGAAAACTATGTCTGCACCCAGCACACCCTTCTGGGGTATCAGATTCTAGCCTTTCTTTCTTTTTTTTTTTAATTTGAAGGAGGCCCCACGTTTAATGTGGGGCTCGAACTCGCAACCCCGAGAGTGGCATGCTTTCCCAGTGGAGCCAGCCAGGCGCCCCTAGCCTTTCATTATTCTTTTACAACTGTAAATTGTAGGCAACTGACCAATTCTGTCTTGTCTGGTAGAGAGGCCCCTTCACCCCCTTGTGGAAAACCGGTTTTGCCTCCATGGGCACATTTATTTCTATATTCCTGGCCTATAAATGTGACTGTTCTGTTGCCTCTTTGAGCCAGTTACTACATCTGACCCCTCTTCATTTTGTATCGGCATAGGAGTCACGATTTTACCGTTTTTAGAAAATTATCTGTAGCACTTCCTTTGTCGGGTGCTTCCAGATGGCATGTTTGGCTGGGGGAGTCGCTGGCGGGGCACCTCTATTCAGCGTCTTCAGACGCAGCAGGCAATTGGCCCTCCACCCAGGAGCGGTGTCTGGTGTCCCAGTGAGTCCGGGAGGGGGCCTCTGCTCTGGTGCATGAGACAAGGTCTTAGCAAGACCTGCACTCTCTCTCTCTCTCTCTGGCTAAGCCTCTAACCAGCTACTTGACCTTGAGACCCAACCTCTTTAGACCAGAGGTTAAGGAAGGACAGTGTCGAAGCTGACTTATATCCTGAGTGCTTGCTTGGGCTGAGGCTGGGGAGGTTGGGATAATTGATTATCCCTGACAGGAAGCTGGAGTTCTGCAGGGTCATGTAGCCTGCCTTGGGGGCCACACCTAGACAGAGGTGGACTTGAACCAGAACCAGGCTTGCCTGGCTGGGAGCCCCAGGCTGTGACCTGCCTGCCCCTCATCCTCCGGGGCCAGAGGTCTTCGAGAACGACCAGCTGCCTGGGCACGGTCCCATGGCGTCCTTCCAACACCTCTGCAGTCCCCATCTTACAGGCGAGGAAACGGAGACCCAGGGGAGTACCATGACCTTGCCAAGGACACACAGCCAGTGGCCACAGGGGGACTGCGTCCTAGGATTTCTGTCCATCTTGAGGGCGGAGTCAAAGCAAGGTCTGGAAGGCCTGACTTTTTCCCCAGTAAAGGCATCCAGAGGGTGAGTGGCAGGAGCTCGGCTAAACATAATCCTTAACAAAGAACCTGGAGTCTTGGGGAGATCTGGGCCCCTTCATAATGATGGTGCTGACAGTCATAATAACAACAGCTCCCATCTTGTGGGCAGGAAGACGCCTGCAGACGTGATCTCATTCCTTCTTCACTCCTGCCTCCAAGTAACTACCCATCCTCCAGACAAGGGGCCCACGGTTGGCCACACGGCCGGCGGCTTCTGGCTCTAAATCCCTGCCTGCCACTCACCTCCCCCAGTCTCTTCTCTCTTCTATTTTTTTTTTTTTTAAATAATACTGTGCTGTAGATTTGGGTTTTTTGCTTGTTTTGTTTTAAGATTTTATTTATTTATTTGAGAGAAAGAGCATGGGAGGTGGGGAGGAGCAGAGGGAGGAAGACAAGCAGACTCCATGCTGAGCACAGAGCCCCATGCTGGGCTTGATCCCACCACGCTGAGATCATGACCTGAGCCAAATCAAGAGCTGGACGATTAACCGACTGAGCCACCCAGGGGTTTCTCCATCTCATCCTTCATCTGTTGGATGGAGATAACTCTACCTTCATCATCACATTTAAGGGAATTAAATAGCACGTGACTACATACAGTGGGGTTCCTGGGATGGGACGCCGGGACGGAAACAGGACATCAGTGGAAACACTGGTGAAATGGAATGGAGTCTGGAGTTCGGTGAATAGCATCTTCCCAGTGCCTTTAGCAAACGTGCCGTGGTGTTTGTAAGATGTTAACCAAAGGGAACCTG